AACTGCCTGCTTTGTGCTCATTTGCATAATGGTAATTGACGTTTTTTAATAATGGCTTGATTACAAAATTGTTTAATCGTGATATTTCACACGTTAAATCACTGTGAAATTGGATGGTTTTTCTGTGGAGCCTTTATTTATATTGCCGGGTGTTATATGGACAAATTATATTAAGGTTAATACTATGAAATTAATAGAAACTTGTGGTTTTATATGTCTTTCCATATACTGCCATTTGTTATATGGCCACGAATTAAATTGTCACAAGGTTTATACTGTGAAATTAGTAGAAAGATCTGTAAGAAAAATATTATTCTACATATCTTTTCATATATTGCCACTCGTTATATGAGCACGAATTAAATTGTCACGGTTAAATTATGCTGTGAAATTGGTTGAGTGTTTTTTGGAAAACTACAGTTAAAATTATTCGAAACACCTCTGTTCATATTGTGTGGCGAGTATTTAACAGATAGTGAAATAAAGTATAGTGAATTAACGCGTGGAAATCCAATCTGTAGCAAATCAACACGTAGAAATGTTGAAGTGGCGAAATAACGCGAGGGAATTTAATGCGTCGCGAATTAACGAGTGGCGAACTATCGCGTGGAAATCTAACGCGTAGAAATTCAATCGGTGGCTAATTAGTGCGTGGAAATTCTATACGTGGCGAAATAACGCGTGGAAATCCTATACATGGCGAAATAACGCGAGGAAATTAAATGCGTGGCGAAATATCGCGTGGAAATCTAACGCGTAGAAATCCAATCGGTGGCTAATTAATGCGTGGAAATTTTAAACGCGGTGAAATAACGCGTGGAAATCTTATACGCGGCGAAATAACGCGTGGGAATCCTATACGCGGTGAAATAACGCGTGGAAATCTTATACGCGGCGAAATAACGCGTGGGAATCCTATACAGCGTAGAAATTCAATCAGTGGCTAATTAGTGCGTGGAAATTCTATATGTGGCGAAATAACGCGTGGAAATCCTATACGTGGCGAAATAACGCGTGGAAATCCTATACATGGCGAAATAACGCGTGGAAATTCTATATGTGGCGAAATAACGCGTGGAAATTGAATGCGTGGCGAATTAACGAGTGGCGAACTATTGTGTAGAGTTCTAATATGTGGGGAATTAACGCGTGGAAATTTTATACGCGGCGAAATAACGCGTGGAAATCCTATACATGGCGAAATAACGCGTGGAAATTCTATATGTGGCGAAATAACGCGTGGAAATTGAATGCGTGGCGAATTAACGAGTGGGCGAATTATCGCGTGGAAATCTAACGCGTAGAAATCCAATCTGTTGCTAATTAATGCGTGGAAATTTTAAACGCGGTGAAATAACGCGTGGAAATCTTATACGCGGCGAAATAACGCGTGGGAATCCTATACGCGGTGAAATAACGCGTGGAAATCCTACAAGCAGTGAAATAACTCATAGAAATGGAATGCGTGGTGAATTAACAAGTGGCTAACTAACGTATGCAAATCTAACGCCCAGTGCGGCGAATTACCGCGTGGCAAATTAACGAGCGTTAAACAAACGCATAACACACGGCGTAATACCGTGTGGCAAGCTAATAAATCCAAATGCGATACACCAAGTAACCCAATACAATTCGGAATTACCATAAAAGTATGGTGTCCTCATAAAAAAGTCATAGAACAAAATATATCGATTCACCTGTCCACCAATTAGCAGCGTCGAGTGAGCTCATTCAAAAATCACACGTAGTCGTTACGTCGAATCGAGTCCAGCACCGCGGGGGGTGTCCCGGCTGGAACGATCGCTCCGCAAGAAAGTCGCCTAATCAAAGTTCCAATCGAAGCTTAATCAATGATCTTCGAAGGAAACGAGCCACGGTTTCCCGATAGGTTGCACGCCAGGAGCACCGTCGTGACACGACGAAACGCGCGTTCCTGGGATTCCTTCCATCGACCCGGTTTATTACATAACGAACAACGGTCCGTTCGCGTAACAGTGAAAATCCCTCGCTAACAAACAGACGCTCATTGCAATTTCTATTAGTTTTCCCTTCGCGCCAAAAGAACTGGCCGTCCGCCATTTTAACAGCGATATCGATCTCCTTTACGTGGTTTCGCGCGCATCATTATCGCCGGACGAATCGAACGATGTCGATGGAACGAGTGGAAAAAGAACAGCAGGAAAAAACACTAGACGGTCAGAGAGTCGGTATTCGTGTCGCAACCGAAATGCGAATTTAATGCGAAGATCGTTGTATCGATAAGTGGTCTGTTGCTGTTTCACACGCTGGAGAACAGCTTGGCCACTGAGTTACGCGTTATCGATGGATTGCTAAATCGTACTTCATACAGCTACGATTCTTATAGGGACATTTTTTTACTCGGTGAAATTCAATTTTATTTCTACCGAAAATTTTATTTCAATGTAATAGGTCTGATTAAATACGCACGTCATGTTATATTGGTTTTGGGGCGAGTTTATATCGATTTAAATCGAATTAGTGCTTGAAACAGGTTTGGGACAGGTTTGCACTGTTTTGGATCGGTTCGGATCGAATTCGGGTTATTTCGGGTCGGTTCGGATCGATTCGGGTGACATCGGGTCGATTCGGATCGAATTCGGGTGGTACCGAGTTCGTTCGGATCGAATTCGAGTGGCGTCGGGTTCATTCGGTTCGAATTCGGGTTGCATCGGGTTCGGTTCGACTTCGTAACAGATCGGGTCGGTTCGGGTCGAATTCGGGTTCGGATCGAATTCGAGTGGTACCGAGTTTGTTCGGTTCGAATTCGGGTGGCGTCGGGTTCGTTCAGATCAAATTCGGGTTGCATCGGGTTCGGTTCGACTTCGTAACAGATCGGGTCGGTTCGGGTCGAATTCGGGTTCCATCGGTTCTGCTCGATTTCGTAATAGATCGGTTTGTTTCGTCTTCGTATTAGTTCGGAACACTTCGGATCCAATTCGTACTAGATCGGAATACTTCGGGTTCAATTCGTATTATATCGGAACGATCCGTTCCGAATTCGAGCCTAATCATCCCGTGGTTGCGTCGAGTTCGTTCGGTTCGAATTCGAGTGGCGTCGGGTCGGTTCGGTTCGAATTCGGGTTGTATCGGGTTCGGTTCGACTTCGTAACAGATCGGGTCGGTTCGGGTCGAATTCGGGTTCCATCGGTTCTGCTCGATTTCGTAATAGATCGGTTTGTTTCGTCTTCGTATTAGTTCGGAACACTTCGGATCCAATTCGTACTAGATCGGAATACTTCGGGTTCAATTCGTATTATATCGGAACGATCCGTTCCGAATTCGAGCCTAATCATCCCGTTTCTTTCGGTTCACATCGGCTCAATTCGTACCAACTCGGTTCCAATCGGACATCTATTCTCTCAACCAACATATATCAATAACACCAACTAACAGAAATGACCAGAACACAATATACATTTATCACCAAAACAATAGAATTAAAAAGCTACCAACCTTACCTCACCGCAATTGATACAAGTTAAAATTCGTCAGCAGTAGCATCACCGGCCAGAATATTTACGACAATCGGCGAAGAGAGTTAACCGTCGTTCGGTTCCGATCGCAAACGCGCCGCTCCGGCCAAGGCGCAGTAAATACCGGTATCTGTTGCCGTAAAGTACAGCATTGGTTTTCCACGGGAGAGGGTTGCAAAGAAAGAGGAAGCAAGAGAGGCGGCAGTAGGAAAAAAGGGAGGCGGAAAGAGAGGGACAAGAAGGAGAGGACCAGGGCAGCTCGCCACGTAATTTATGTCTCCGGCACACCGCGGTACGCCGCAACCGCGTTGACAGTTGAAACACGGCGGCGACTCGGATTGGTCGGCAGCGGGCACCTTATAGGGTCGCGCGCATGCGCGCACCGC